GACGCCTTTCATGTAGAAGCTGCCCTCCACGATACTGATGTTTTCTTACGCAATGCCGTCTTCGGTGATGATGTTCTGACGCTCGCGGCCTCGACAGCCGTCCCTGAGAAAACAGCCAAGCTAGAACGCGGAAGATGATCTTCCGATGAACCCTCTGGCGAGCGCTGTGGTAGCAGAGAGAGGGCAGAGCAACCTGACTTACAGCATAGCAGCAGTTAGGATACTGCAGAGCAGGACTACTTGTTAGTAGATGCACCTGAAACGCTTGAAAATATATTAGAGGTATTGTGGGATGCGGGAGAATCTGAGGATGTCGGTTCATCACTGTCGTCCCTCGATTTCCATCGATAACACGATGTTGCGTGCCTGTGTAGATAATGCCTCTCCACCGCGGAGAAGGGCGCGCTCTACCACACGTTTTCGGGCATGGACGTCAGGCGGACCCGAGCGACCTTGAAGTCCGAATGCGGGGATACGAGCACGAGCTGTTCTTCGACGAGTGCAGCGCGGTCGCTGCTGCAGCGAGAGCCGAAGTTGGAAAGGCTGAGGGAGGAGTCACGGCACAGGTCGGGGTATATGGACGGTGTGCAGGTCCTGCTTGAAGCGGTCTATTGTGGTGGGTATAATGGGCTGGACAATGGAGGGGCTGGACTTTGCGATGCCGAGGACACTGCTGAGGCCGGTCCAGTCGACTGCGAAGCGGGTGCCATATGAAGCCCACGCGACCGTCGATACGGGGTCCAGCCTGCTTCTCCTCCCGAGCAGCGCGTCGCCACGTACTATGCCGACATCCCCAGCGCAACACTGCAGTTAGCCTGGTGCGCGGCGGAAAGTTTGACGTACGATTGATTCTTCGGCCCTTGAGGGAGACAACAAACAGCATCTGTCAAGCCTTGCCTTACCGTACGGCCATAGGTCATAGGACGGGCATTGTCTCCACCCATGTTTCTGCCTGGCACAACCCCAGAAGTACACAGCGCGGAAAATTCATTTCTGATCCCCTACTGGAATGGGCATGTCTTGCCTCTTGCCTCTTCGCGTACGGCGTGTGGTGTACGGCGCTTCTAGCGTCTCCCTGTAGATCGCGGCTTCTCTGGGGAATGGTCAGGCACAGGAAGAGCTGCGTGGTCAGAGAGCTAACTCCGACAAAAAACCCACCAACTGATTATTCGCTCCGACACTTCGTCATTGGGGGGTGCGGCAACGGCCACCTCGCTCTGCCAAGGGCCCAAGTATGCCACGAAGTGACTCGCAGCTCGCATTCGTAAGGGAGGAGGCAACAGGGGAAACACCAAACTGGATAACTTCGGCAGCGTGTGGTCAGAACATGCTGTAATTGATGGCAGACACTTGCAACGCCTTTGAAATTGGAGGCTGATTTCGGTGAGGGAAGCTTCTGAGAGGTTGCTACTGCTGCCCGGTCGTCAGCGATGGACATGCCAAGACACAGCTCAAGGTTGATTGCATGTGAGACCCGAGATCGGGGGCAGAGGCCAGCTGCTCATGCGAATCCCTGAGACAAGTGTAATACTGCTTGGATCCGAGATAGACTCGTCGAGAATGCGAAAAAGGGGGCGTGGCGAGCCTGTGTATGTTGGAGCGTGCGCTGCGTCTCTCCAGCGGCATCTTTGTAAGACGTTTTCACCTCGTCGGTATTGACGTAGAAACAAAGCTATAAATCGATGTGTGATGTTCATCCATGTCGGATGGATCGGCTTTGCAGCTTCAGGAAACCGCGCCGTCAACCAGCATGAGTTGGCAGGCTCCGGGTCAGTAGCATTCGATCTTTTGGGTAGTAGAAACTTGACTTTGACTTTGACTTCGGTCTATCTGGCAGGGACGTAAGCTGCCCTAAGGTAGGTGCCCAAGAGCATTGCACATCGTCGCTCCACCAGTGCACGTCATGCTCGCGGAGAGGCCACGCGAGACTACTTCCAAGTTGCTTTTCCGTCTCTAATTCGGGGTCCTCCGTAGGGTGGTTCTCGAACCCTCCGTCGCTTCCCCATGTACGTCAAACTCGGATGTCTTGCAGATATTTCGGCTCGCAAGGGTACAGACTGCGGGTGAGTCGGCTGGCAAAGAGAAATCGGACGGGGTCGAGGCATAGGCTCTGAGATCTGTCAGATCAGCAAGCCCGAGTACTTGGGCAGGCAGGCTAGCAGCGACACCTTTGTAAGGAGGAATGAGCATCATCTGGGCGGGAAACCAACGGTCATGTAGGCCGCGGTATCTTTGGGGAGGATCGGAAAGCTTCAACTCGGTGGCTCGCTCATCACGGGCGAGTGGCGGATAGTAGTGTTTCCGGTCGTTCGGAGATCGGATGTCAGGACCCACAAAAGTACTTGTGGAGATGCGGACTCGAAAACAGGTCTCGTTGAGGCATGAGTGGTGGTCGGCGAGGGAAGTAGGAGGGATTTGGGATGGTTCAAAGCGATTGTCGACTTGAGAGGATGGTTAGATGATTGCATCTTCTGAGGAGAATTGGTTGCCTGTCGCAGTGCTTTCCTAAAGGAGCCTGTAAATGCGTGGGCAGGAACACGGGAGGGGAAAGAGGGAAGATTGAGAATTCGAGGGTGGGTATGGAGAGGTGAAGGTTGAGGCGGACGAGACCAAAAGGGTGGACGCACGACCCTGAGCAATTCCACGTCCCCTGAGTGTCCACCAGCAACGCGCAGTGACGGTGCATTTCCAGCAAGCCGCAGTCCCACAGTGGAACCCTTGCAGTCTGGTCTGCCTGAATGACCCTAGCTGCGGCCCGGCCCGTGAAATGCACGATTAGGTTTTCAGGCGTGCAACTGGGTGCCCGCACTGCCGCTGCTCCGTCACAAGGGACGGGAATCACGAGACGAGACGCGGGATATCATCCGCTGGCAGCAGCGGCGGTCGCCAAGGTGATCCACCTGCCGATTTCAGCATAGGAGTCGGCAGTTCGTCACTAGGAGTGGGAATGGTTTTTTGTAGGTAGGTACCTAGGCAAACACCTATCAGCTAACACGTAACAGCTGGCAGCGAACAGTTAACAGCTAACAGCTAACAGCTTACCCAAACAATCTGGGCAAGGGGACTCGACTAAGAAATACCCAGAAGTTCTCCGGGCACACTAACCAGCAGTCCTCAGATACGAAGGTTTATGGCAGATATCTAAGCAAGCGTGGTATTATCATGACATCCAAAGCAACGCGGACGGACGCGAACTGCCAGCGTCGAATTTGCCCCAACACCACGATAAGACTCAGCCACTCTGAAGCTGTGTCAATCAGGCCCTCAGCTTGCGCCACTGGGGCTCCTCGTAACAAGTGACACAGTTCAAGTCGAACAAAGATCCTGCATCACTCCATACTACCTGCATCTGCTGCGCGACACCTGTTCGTCATTTCATCAAGGTATCCTTCAATCAAATTCTAAGCGAAAGTCTTCTCATCGTCGACGCGCAGCCATGATACAGTACCCGCTTCCTAACTCCTAGTGCACCGTCAGCGCTGCCCCGCCTCATTTTTCGAGTCGAGACACTGCGTACCTTACCAACGCCAGAAACATGTCCAACGCGCCATGGAGCGCAGCGTGCTGGGAAGGTCGAGTGGTGGGCTGCTCTTTTGGGGGGTCGTAAGATGTGAGAGACAAAACAAAAAAAAAGGCCCCGCGGGGCTTGTCAGGGGTCTTGTTTCTCGGTGGTTATACGTTCTGAAGAGGATGATTTGCATTTTCTAGCTCGTTTCTAGCGCACTATGACAGCCGTAGACATAACACTGGAGGTGAGGTACAGCAAACAGAAATAAACATAAACGAATAGAAAGAATATTGTAGATATGACGGCGAGACACAACTGTGGTACTGACTGGAATGGCTCTCGCATGAGTGCGCGTAACTTCACGACAGACTGGCCTACCTTGAGTCACACTTCCCGACCGCTCCTGATAAATCACTTTTCTCGCCCGCGGGCCTGCCTTTCAATGCGGCGTCGGTTTAGAGGTAGGACTCAGTGTTATTTTGAGGAACCTGCGGTTGGAGTCGCAGCTGTTGCTTGCCGTTGCCTGCTACCTGCTGGTTGTCGCGGGGAATCTTCAGACTAAGACTGCTTGTCCTCGGGCGGGGAAGTCTTCGGGCATGAGAAGGATATCTGTTTCTCAGACTTGAAGCGGTTCCTCCGCAAAAAAAGGCCGGAGACAGAAGCCGCCGTCCGAGCATTGCAGCATGTCATTGGCTGGGTCAACCGCGCAAGCGCAGTTGAACTCGAAAGTGTGAATCTGAAGTTAAAGAATAAGCTGCAGCTTCTAGAGCATCTTAAAAACGCCTTTAAATAGTTTCAGCTCGTCCAGGGGGGGCTTGAGCGGCTTCCCCGCTAACACAGCACTGTATCTCCAGCAGCAAGTCCTAGGTGTTGCCCGATGCAACACCAAAGCCTTCCGGATACCAGAGGCACAGTCGCTCCTCGCCAGCCACATCACACACGTTGACAAGCCGACGTACGGAAAGCGGTTCGAGCACGCGTCGTGGGCACGTCTCCTACGAGTTGTCCGGCGTGTCGTCGACCCCAAAGGTGGAACGCACGTCCTCCACCCTGCCTGAGAAACACCGAACGCCAACGAGGGGTGTTTGCGCGAGGCGCAGGTGTCAACGCTTATGTCTGCTTTCTGCTCTGATCTCACCCGGCTGAGCGATCAGCCAATACGAAAGCAGGGTACTGTACTTCTGGCCCTCCAGCGGCGGATCGAAAAGGTTCTAGCGGCATCCGTAAGCAAGCTGCAAGGAATCGTTCTGGCCAGCGTGGTCTCATCAAACAAACCAGTTCAGCATCGCCCGGCTAATAGCGATGACGACAACGACAGAGGTGATGACGACGATGACGATGACGATAGCTGCGGGCTGCATAGACCAGAATTAGCTTCTCGAGACCTCAACCCACCACCGTCAGCACAGAGGCAGTGGCCTGCTCGAGAAGGTAGCGCGAGAGAGGCACGAGGAATTGTTTATAGCAGCCAGACGGCTCAACATACTCCCCTTTACATAGCATACAAGATGTCCAGGAGGCCGGCCACGCGGCGGTCACCATTGCCGGTGAAGAAGATAGCCTCGACCACATCCTGTGTGGTCGACGTCCTGGCTGCGGCCGTTCCGCTGTCTCCTTGTCACCTTACAGCCTAGATGCCAAACGACTCCAATCTTCCAGTCCTAAGTCCTACGTCTCGTCGAGGGGCAGGGCCTCGAGCGTGGCCAGAACGGTCTTCATCGTCGCAAACCAGTAGTCATTAATTCGAAGGTCCGCCATCCACTTAAAGGCGGAGATATTAAAGGTCTTAAGCCCTAGATGGGTCTGGCACTAGCGCGTCGTGATTTCCCTCTATCCTTTGTGGATCTAAAGTGTGACGAGCCGACCTGTAAGAAAACTCTTCTCGCTGCCAAGACGGAGAGCCTCGACAAGCCTATGGTCAACGGTCGCTTAGCTCCCTATAATAGACTCCCCTACCACTAACGCAATCAATACCAGATAGCTCCATATCTGCCTATGATTGTTTAGAAGGCTTAGTTCTCTGCAGTTAACACGTAGTTTAATGTTAAGGTCTGCAGGGAGCTGATCTGTAAGGTTCTCAAAGCTCTTACATTCCTGCTGAGGTTGAGGCGGAACGAGGCTCACTTTTGTCGTATAGCTCATACGTCCATCAGGCGTTAGACTCCAGTGCGCTCGTTGCCTTAATATACTCTCACAGGGCGCAAAGTTGGTGCTATCCCGCTACAACCTCCACCTTAGTTATGTTGATAGAGGACTAGTGAATGAAATTTGCTTTGCTGTCGCTATTGCTATCATCTTAGATAGCGATATCGCTGCCGTCCGTTCTCCACTAGATTCGAAGGACTTCTTCAGCGCTACAGAGGACGAATAGACGGTTCTCCAGAGCACCACGTTCGAGCCGCCCTTCATGAAGACATCCGTCAGCTCCCGGACGTGGTCCGGCTCGACACGTCGGTTCCTACCTATGCTCCATGCTGTATCCAGCACATCGTGCTTGCCGACAGCTAATAGGTAGGGCTTCGCGCGCTCTCAGACCAACTCGCTTTCTCAGAAGGGCTCATGCTTCTTTAAGTGGCGTTTTGGAGCTGACTGCGCTGCACTACTGTCCTCGCAGCCGCCTTTCCGTTTCGTCCCGGACGCTGTGCTGGCTATATCGAAGTTCAACATTTTTCGTTATTACTCTCCCTAGTCAGCAGCTACAAACAAGTTTGCGAGAAGGAGAAAAGGAGTATGTTGAAAGATGGTGTTGTGAGTATTGGGTATGGCGCTGCTAGCTTGGTAATTTGTCGCCTCTGAAGTTGATGGCAGCTTGCACTTTACCTTCACCGTTGTTATTACCACATGAAGTCCGTCGTGACCGGCATTGGTACCTTCCGGCCGCATCGTAAAGCAAAGTCCAACCGTGCAGAGTCGTTCTTCCCCTGCTGTACCCGATTAGCGTTTGAGACTTAAAGCGTCGTTGGGTTTCTTGCTGGATGAGGTTGCGTGTTCAGACCAGGACTCATCATGCTGCGGTTGTGTTGCCAGTAGATGTATAGCGTTGAATCTGGAGATAGTGAGTTGGGGTCGAAGGAAGGTGTGTCGTAGTTCTGAGGCCAGCACTCCTTTTGTCAAACGGAAGTTCCTCTAGACGAGGCTCGAAGGCGCAACACATGGCTTCGATTTTCGGGGAAGACGATGTGGCAGGGATGGGATGCTGCTATTGCCGCCTTGGTCCGTTTGAGTCGTGCATTCATTGCGCGTTTATCCAGCGATGAGTTTGACGAATCAAGGAGGCAGCTAAGGGCTTGGCATGCCACGCCGCAAGTCGGCTTGAGTATTGAAACCCCCGTTGCTAGGTGTAGATGTCTTCGGGACCTCGCGGCTGTCAGAGGAGAGCCAGTCGTCATTTCAGGCTTCGGTAGCCCCGCAGGCCATGACGCAGTCTTGCAAAGTTGCAGCGAGGCATTGGCAAAAAAAGGCGCGGGCAACTTCTATTTTCAGGAAGCAGCCTCGATCCGACAAGGGGTCGCATTCGGAAACTTTGGCAACCGAAAATGGACTGAGCTCCTGGGTGTTGGTGATTTGATGCAGCAGGCCGCGAATCACTGGGAAGGACTAACCGTTTGAAATTTCCATGGACTTTTCCTGGGTGGGTGGGGAGTTCTTGCGTCTGATGTAAGGCATTGGTTCGTATCAAGGTGAGAACCTCAAGCGGTCTAGTGCTGAGTGGAGGCAACAAGGATCGAGATCGAAATCTCATTTTCGGTCCCGGCATGGGGTGGATCGACCAGAAAGATTGGGTCAATCTGGAAGACTCCAGGAGAGTTTTGGTCGCTCCGTTGTCAGGCGATGTCGTTGCGTCTGGCCAATTGAGGTCTGAGGCAAGATTGGGTGGAAAGACGACACCATTTCGGAAGACGGAGTGAATGGGACGCAGAAGGACGGATTGGGGCGTGAGAAGGCGCGTTCTTTCCCCCAAGACGATAAGGTGACGGAAAAACTAGGGAAGGGTTCATAGCAGCGTCGAGGGAGGAAAGAGTAGACCAAGAAGCCTCGAGAGACGGGGATGAGGAAACGGCGGGTAAGGTGGGTGGCCCGAAGGAGGAGACAATGACGAGCCTTCGCGGTCACGGAGGATGGCGAGACACGGCCGATGGCTGGGCATTACGCGGGAGGCAACAGGTCTGATGCGCCGCGACAGATTTTGAGAATTCCCGTCCAATCCCGTGATCATTGCTTCACAAACTTGCTCGCCAACTCGGTTGACAAGGCGTCTACCAGACATGCCCGCCCACGCGCCATACAGGAGATTGGGGCAGCGTCAGAACTTGAGGTTTCCTTCTCGACATGTAAATGTTCCCACGCCTACACCACGGTGCATCAACCCCTCGCGGCCCTCGCGGGCAAGGCGGCGGCCAGAGGTCCAACTTCGTGACCATAAAATGCTTCTCCGTACCACCTATTGCGATCAAGCCGGACCCTTTCGAGATTTGGGCGAGAGGTGGGCACAAGTCAAAGGCCTGGGTCTTGCGGCGCCCGCGGGGTCGGCACCGCGGCGAAGTTGTCGCAGGAAAACGGATCTTGCAAGCTGCGTGTGCCACACGGAACAATGATGTCGACGAGCCGAAAGAAGTGTGCAATTGGCGTGCGTTGACGAGAGACTGCCGTTTGCCGAAAATTTGTTGTTCTTGCGATGCAAAGTCTGGAGAAAATAGGGAGGGAAAGGAAACGAACCGATCTTGCCGTAAACAAGATGACGAAGAACTAGTCTGGAAGGCGCCGTTTTCTTGAGAGGCGGGCGGCGAACAAACCGACAAGTCGACGCTGCGTCGTGCACGCGATTGAAGTGGGACGGGGAGATGGTTACGAGGCCCGCAACGTTTGCTGGTTGGAATGCTGGTAGGCAAAGCGCAATGCAGGGTTGCATGTGCTTCGGTAGTGATAGGCATCGGTCCAGATTAAGGCTTCAAACAAAGACTCGTGATTCCTGCGGCGATGAGGTAGGAGGGAGTGTTTGCTGGTGGCCTTGGAGATGCGCTGCGATGCCCGCCCCGCAGTGAGATCAGTGATCGACCCCCGGGTCTTCGTCAGGTTGCGATCGGAGCTCACCCCAGCACGACTGCCATTACCGGCGACACGGTCAAGCCGAAATGGCCTTCCTACCTTTCGATATCGGTATGCCGCTACGTACAGTACGCCGACTGCTGCCAAGCGCGCTTTCAAGATCATCGGCTGCGGCTTAACGCTGGGTGGTGCTCGACTGAGATGTGGCTTGTGGCTAGAGTCTTAACAGGGCCGTGCAGAGGTACTTCTGGACGGCCGCGCAGCAGAAGACGCAACTACAAGCGCCAGGATTGCCTAAAAATTACAATTTGACGGAAATGTCTTCTTCTGAGTGATCCACATCTCATCATCATTTTCTTGTATTTTTATATCCCATTCGTGGATGCCAGTCGCAGTGAAGAGCTCTGTCGGCGCCTCAATCTGGTCGGGATTTCGACCAAAATGCCAGCAAACAAATCCGGTGCCAAGTACCCCCAACAGCACTTTCGGCGGCCCCATTGCACGCACGGGCCCGCCTCATCCATGTGCACCCAAAAGTCCCCATTCCAGTAGGGACTTTTCATCTTGCACTCTTCGACCCCGAACCCTCGGCCGCGATCGCCATTCAGACCAACACGTCCGAAACCCGCAGCGACCGCCCCCTCTCCTGTCCGCTACCAATCTTACCGACTTGCGTCTTATAGGCGATACCCCTGTATGGGATGCGCTCGGAGACCCCGACATTGCCAACGTTCAGCTTTCCCTGAAGACATCAACACTGGATTCAAGCAGTGCTGACGGAACCGGCCCCGTCACCCATCCGGCCCCCGGCAAGATCGCGCCCATGTGCCTCAGCGCAAGCATTAATGCCTGCTATGTTCATTGAACAGCGTCTTGACGGCGATCAAGGAGCACCTCGGCCTCGATGACAAGGGTCCGCGCACAAGGAGTGTTGATGACACCGATCGTGGACCTATCGAGGTTGGAGTTGACGGCGCACTGTCGCTGGTGCAAATGGACGGGGCCGAGCTCTCGGCAGCTGGGCCCCACTGCGGGCAAGGTGAAAAGTCCCCACTAGAATTGGGACTTTTCCCCGGACACTGGACCGTACATCGCGGAAGCTCCCATGTTGTGGTTGTGGGCCTCATGCACCCTACGTGCTCTTGGAGCTGTACAAGTTGTACTGGAAGCTGCCATCCTGAGGCCATTGGAAAGGACTCTTGGCAATGAAAGTACCCTGGTCGGTTGGTTTGATCCAGGACACTTCGAATCGTGGTCTCATTCCCGGTGCAGGTGACGACGGGAGATGGTCGCGTCTACTCTCAGTGTGTTCGCCATCCGTGGGAGCCACAAGTAGATGGCTTCATCTTTCACCCTGCAGACGATACCCGATTCGGTATTTCTTGGCCACAGCAAACGGTCGCTCTGCCTGATGTTTCGGTGCCACAGCAGGCCGCCTATTTCGCCAGCTGCACTACCTTACTTCAAGCAGGGGCCCGTTAGGCGCCCGGAAGACGCGATCGAGTCGCGTCGAGTGCGAAGGCGGCGGTATCTCGCCTTCTGGTTCCTTTTCACTTGGTGCTAGTCCACCATCCCACCTGCCCTGCTCGTTGGTGCCGGCACGTCAGGCGTCCCCAACCGCCTGACATGGCCCGCCTCGCTCGGCTTCCCACTCTCTTCATGAGTCTCAGCCCTAATTCTTTGCGTCTCCATTCAGCCCACATTAGCAATACGATCAAGGGTGGTTTGCTTGTCCTTCTGTATCGGCTTCTTACTAACTTTGACCAGGATCTTGTCCCGGATACACGATGTAATCGTTCCTCCCACCGTTTCAATGCGTCGACAACCGACGTGATAATCCAATGACCGACGACCGATTTGATACTTTGACGACCTGACGAAATGCAACTCGGAAAGGTACAACTCGACAACCGCCGTTGTGCTTCGATAGCTGACATGATACCTCGAGAATCGATGACATCCATCGATGACCGACCGATGTAATACCCCGCCAAAGGATGCGATACTTCGTCGCCCGATTTGATACCATGACAACCGATGCAAAACTTCGACCACCAAGTTGACCCTTCGCACCTCCGCTCTGCTCGACATTGACG